CTCTCTACCCTAATGGAAAGTACACATTCAGGGCTCTTATGGAATTTTACACGATCGCCATTCGCTTTGACATTAGAATGCCATGCGTGCAAGAGTACCAAATTTCAGTAAAAACGGTTTACCAATGGTCATAAAAATAAGCAAAATATATTATTTTTATTTAACCTTTCGAGGGCTGTAACTACTTCGGGAAGCATTTTAGAGCATATGTTCATAGGAAATTTTTGTTTTATTTTTATTTGTAGAATCACCCACCAAAGTTAGATACAATATTTTTGTAAAAAAAACACCTTGTATATAAAAATATAATAAAGATTTTCTGTGTAGAAAGTGTACCTGGTAAAAATCTATTATAAAATGCAAGATTTGCAACAAAACTGCGCAAGACCAAGACTGGACCCTGCAAGACCAACACTACTTATTATCTGTAGAACCAAAACCAAGACCATGGGAGTCTTGCTCTTAGTTTTGCATTTGTTCATCACTAACACTACGCGTTTGATTTTTATAAAATACCATAAAACATATTAGCAACTTTTCTCTATCTGGGTATATATTTTTTGATAAGATTAACTTTCAGTTTACTTTTAAGTCATCTTCAGATTTTAAAATATCATAACTCATTTTTTTATTACATTAAAAATTTCGCACAAACATTAAATATACCTTAAACCTTAAATTATACGTGTTGTTAATGGTTTCAAACATAGATATGCATAAAAGATCCACTAGTCATACATTTGTATTGACCAAACATATATAAGCAAAGTGTAAACGAACTCTTTGTGTATCTACACTAGGCTGGAACGAAAAAATTTTTTTTCCAAAATATTTTCACACAAGTCTCAAAATGTACCTTTAGATAAGTATTTTTTTTTCTCAAAAGCTGAGCGCCCTGCCTTTGTATCTTCAGGTTCCCCACGGGCCTTAAAAGCTGAGATATTTTTGAAAAATATTTATTTTTTTGTACGTCAACATATTTAATAATTATTTATCTTTTACCTTTAACACACTGCTTAACATGACTATAAAATATAACCCAATAATGTTATCCAAACTAAATCACTTAAATTATTGTTTTCCGGTTCCTCAATATATTTGAAACTTGTCCACCTGAATGATAAACTACCATCTGTGGCACTTGCCTGTGACAAAACTGGAGTTTTAGATCACGCTACCGCTATAATCGCAAATGCTGTTTTAGAGGATATTGGAGTAGTGTCTAAAAGCAGTTGTACACAGATAGTAGATAGAATGAAGATCAGGAGGGCCAGAATGTCTCAACATAAGTTTGTACTAGTGTATTAGGTAAAATGTCGTTATTAGGCGTGTTTTTTCATGGTCGAAAGGACTCATTTCATGGTCTAGACGACTATTATTTACGAAAGAATAAAAGGAAGAGAAAACGCGTTGTGGGAGAACATATTTCTATTCTAAGTGAACCCGGTTCTAAGTATTTGGGCCATGTTACACCGGAAAGCGGATCTGCATGTCATATAAAACTGTCTTTGGTTAATTTCTTTAAGGAAAAGTTTGACTTGACCCAACTTTCCGATTTAGTAGAAGTTGGGACAGATGGAACTGTTGTGAATACGGAAGTGAAAAATGGCGTTATTCGTTTGTTGGAAAAATAATTAAAACGTCCCTTACAATGGTTAATTTGTTAATTCCATTTAAATGAACTTCCTTTGCGACATTTAGTAAAAGAACTAGATGGTGAATTGGTGTTATTGGAAGAACAAAGGTTTTATTGGACAGAAACTAGATAACTGTGAAACCCTAGCTGTTGTAAAATTCAGAAGAATTGAAACTGTCCAAAGACATTATAAAGATAGACCGAACATCTCATTCATAAATACTCGTTGGTAGTGTATCAAACATTCCGTTGAGACATTCTGGCCGTCCTGATCTTCTTTCTATCTACTCTCTGTGTAGAGCTGCTTTTAGACACTATTCCAATATCCTCTCATGCAGGTGGACAAGTTTCAAATATATTGAGGAACCGGAAAACAATAATTTAAGTGATTTAGTTTGGATAACAATATTGGGTTATATTTTATAGTCATGTTAAGCAGTGTGTTAAAAGGTAAAAGATAAATAATTATCAAATATGTTGACGGGCAAAAAACAAATATTTTTCAAAATATCTCAGCTTTTAAGGCCCGTGAGGAATCTGAAGATACAAAGGCAGGGCGCTCAGCTTTTGAGAAAAAAAAATTACATCTAAAGGCACGTTTTGAGGCTTGTGTGAAAATATTGTGAAATTTTTTTTTCGTTCCACCCTAATCTACACCTTGAATTAAGTACAAATTTTATATAATACTTTTTTGAAAATGCTTCGACGTTGTGGCGTAATTTCAGTATTTTCATATAAACTGAATAAAGTGGTAAATAAATATCTCTACTTTTGCTAGAAATACCTGAAAATCACTTAAATAGAATTTTAATAACATGATATATATCTATTTCTATTTAATTTAAGTTTTTTAAGTTAATCTCTCTATTTTATTCTTTAATATATCGTGGTGCATCGTCGTTGGAAACATAGGAAGTCCCGTGCAAATTTTGAACTGTGCAAATATTAGCTCCCCCATTGAATTTATAGCAAACTGGTAAATATATTTTTAAAGGTCTACGTTTGTTAAACACACATGCCAAATTTAAACAATGTTAGATAAGGCGATTTTTAGAAGTTTGAGAAAAACAGCATCTATTTTTAAATTAAAACTAAAGAGGTAACAATCCAACACAACACGACAACAGTCAAAAACCGACCTACCTTAAATTGCCAACGTCATATTCAAACGTAACTTAATTTTAATATTCGCTACCAGTAATAATTTATTGTTATACACATAAAGAAAAAGTGAGCACGATAAAATGGTACTACGCGGGGAATAGCTTAGCCCACGGCAACACAGAAAGCGTGTTTTGCTTTTTTAGCGTGAAGCGTCTTTAGCGACTAAAACAAAATAACAGGATTATATAGGGGTGGCCACACCAAAAGCGTGTAGCGTTCGGCGTGTCTCGCAAAAAACGCAAATAAAAACAAATCAGTTTGTTTTCTGTAGCGTCTTTAGCGTTTTCTAAGATGAGACCCCGTCATAGGCGGACGTTATATTTAATAATACAATAAAAATAAATTAAATAAAATAATATTTAACTATTATTATTTAAAAATATTTTTATAAAGAGCATCTATTGTTTAGGTAGATTCTATTATTCAAAAATTTGAAGGAAATGTTTGAAAAAGTGTAGTTTGAAATGTTGAATAAGTAATAAATTAAAGGAATATTTTCTTACGCGTAAAATAGTTTTTATGCGTAAAAAGTGTTTTTTTCTGGGTAAAAAGGTTTTCTAACAGAAACAAATAGTTTTTGACGCGTAAAAATAGTTTTTACGTGCAACAAATGGTTTTTACATGTAAAAATATATTTTTTTTGTAAGAAATTTTTTCTATCGGAAACAATAAGTTTTTGACGCGTAAAAAAAAATATTTTTTCACGTGTAACAAATAGATTTTTACACGTAACAAATATTTTTTTTTTGTGTAACAAAAGGTTTTTTACTAGAAACAATAAGTTTTTGACGGGTAAAAAAATAGTTTTTTACGTGTAACAAATAGATTTTTACACGTAACAAATAGTTTCATACGCGTAAAAAATAGTTTTCTACCAGTAACAAATAGTTTTCTACCAATAACAAATAGTTTTATACGCGTAAAAAATAGTTTTCTACCAGTAACAAATAGTTTTTTACGTGTAACAGTTTTATTCGCGTAAAATAATAAAAATAGTTTTTTACGTGTAACAAATACTTTTTACACGTAATAATTTAATTCACTTTACAAAATTTGTATTAAAATATCAATATTTTTGATAAACACGTGGACTGCTCACAAATACACATCGTGTCACTACGTATTTCTAAGCCGTTAACACGTTTCGTTACAACGAGCTCGTGTGTCAGGGCCGTCTCACTAGGTCGTATGTCATGGTCTTCAATTTTTACTACCAGCGCGCGTAAAGAAGTTTCATTCCAAAATGTTTTATAAATCATGTCCTAAAATTGCATTAGCAACTAGAAATATTTATTATTCTATTATATAATTACAATTATTTATTATATTATATTATAATTATAACAAGTACTAATCACAACACTACAAATAAAAAACTATACACATATAAACTAAAATTCGTAAAATAAATGGCAAATAATAATAATTATTTTTACACACACCACTGGCACTAGCAGTAGATTGTGTTTGTCTCCGAATATATGCCCCGGCCCGTCCACAATTCAATCCCAGCATCTTTTATCTTCGTCTCTTCAACGCTAACGGCGCCGATCTCGCCTATCTCTTTCTCACAGGATTGATTGTTGGACGGGCCGGGAATCCACGAGCTTGTGACGTTACTAATTGACATCTTGATAGAAACTGCAGACCTGCCGCGTCTTTTGCGTTTTTTAATGGACACAAATCGAAAAAAGCGCTTAAAATGATAAAATCGCAAAAAGCACTTTAGACGCAAAAAACGCTAAAAACGCTTTCTGTGTGGCCGTGGGCTTAGACAGTGTATCTGACATGTTTCGGTTAATTTCCCCTGAATATTAAAATTAAATTACTTTTGACAATGACAAAATCATAGTTTGTAACCCTAAGATATGTTTGTTTTTGACTGGTGTTCGATTGTTACCTGTTCGGTTTGGTTTGTAAAATATAAAAATTGATGCAATCTTTCTTAAATTACTCAAAATCGGCTGATCCAAAATTATTCAAATTTTACATCTGTATTTACCTAGACTTCGCTCTAAGGTCAATAGGGGAGCCAATATTTGAACAGTTCAAAATTTATATGGGACTTCCTATGTTTCCAACAACGATGCACCACCCAGTATGTATGAACTGTTCAAAAATATGATGAGAAAAATATGTCCATTACTTATTTTTTGTTCTAATAATATTTTATCTATAGAAAATTAATTTTTATTTGCAGGCGAACATCCAGCAGCTATGCAAACCAGCAATAGCTACAGCTCAACTCCACTCATATCCCTGATGATGATGTTGCTGATCATCACGAAATCAAGCTGACTATCTTTCTTCTAAGCGATACATTTGGGCGAGAAATGCAAGAAGAAGAATGAAAGGAAAAGATGAAATAAAAAATAAAGTGAGAGACAAATAACAATGAGGAGAAAAATATAATCTCGTATGTACAGTTTTTGAATCGAAATGAACTGAGTTATGTCAGTGTGTTTTTTGAGGTTTTTTTGCGTATAAAACAAACATGTTATTTGTAGTTACAGGGTACAAATCAAAACTTCAATTGCAATATTAAATAGGTTACTTTTAAATTTGTTATAATGTTGTTTTTTTTTCTGAGTTTATATCTTGTGTCACTATAAGTTAGAATGGTAGTAAAAAATAATGAATTTTAATTTATTATATAAATACAGGGTGGGGCACCTCATTCGCCTCGGTTAGGTTTAGAAAAAACAAATTTTTTTGGTACAGGGTGTGTCAGAACTAAGATCCATATCAAAGTTATATTGTTATCCATAAGAAAAATCTTATGGATAACACGGTATTTTATTTCATTTTTGGATTCTTGGACATAAAATAGGACATTTATTATAAGGATTTAATATGTTTAAAAGTTTTGATTTTTGAGATATTTAAATATGCCATTTTATTGAAAAATCGCTTTTTATTCAAAATCTGAGCCAGACAGGTATAGAAAACCCTAATATAGTTTGAAAGAGCATTTAAATCTGCTTCGATTTATTTAAAAAAATACATAGTGTTGCATTTGAAATAACGAAATTTTTTGAAAAAATGTAAAATAAATATTTAAAATAGACCAGCAATTTTTGATACCCCTGTATACATTTAAGGAAGCAATCAAATTTTTTAGTAAAGTCTATTTTTCTGGCTTGAAAGTCAGCACAAGAATTAATTCCGAAAAGTAATATACGAGGTGATAAACTTTTTTATTATAGCATGCATATTTAAATATTTTTAAATATCTCAAAAACCAAAGCTTTTAAACATATTAAACCCTTATAACAAATGCCTTATTTTATGTCCAACAATCCAAAAATAAAATACCGGGTGTTCCATAAGAAAAAATATACCTTTCGTATGGATCTTAGTTCTGACACACCCTGTACATTTCAAAATAATTTTAAATTATGCACAATACCTTCCCACATATACCTATAAAATATTTTGTTTCTACAACTTTTCGTTTTCGTATAATCAACCGAGGCGAATGAGGTGCGCCACCCTGTATATACCGATCTGGTCATCAAAAATGCGTGGTCTGGATTTTAATGTGTAAGATAGTGATGTTGACAGCTTAATGGGAAATAAAATGTATTAAAACGAGATAAATGTTAGGTTAATAATTTCTTCTATGCAGTATTGCCGGATTTTAAATGAAAATTTCAAACAGCACAAGTAGACGTTTATGAAAAATGTTGCATCTAGGGTTGAAACTTTATTTTTCACAATTACTTACTCATTTTACTACAGCTGCAATAAATTATATTTAGCTTAGATGTATTATCTTCATTTCAGTAGTATACATGAAAGTTTTTAAAACAGGTTATATTTTCTACACACATTTTTCTACAAACGTAAAAACCGGCAACACTGTATGCCGCTTTTTATTTTGTCTCTCTGTCTGTCAACAGGTCATTTATATTTATCTCTGTCGCATGCATTAAAATACAGACCATGCAGATGAAGTGACCAAGGCTAGTATATAAACACCAAGAAAATGAACTCAATAAAGTTATATTCTTAAAAAAATGAAATTTAATTTAAAAAGGTACCTTTTGTTAAAGTTTTCAAAATAAAATATAATATCTTTATTTTTTAGATATATGTATACTTATTTATTCGGTATATATTAATCAGCTGGTACACTTTTAAACTCATAGTGACACAATTTTGTATAATATATCCTATTAACCTTAAAAAATCAAAATATATCAACGGCGAATCAAGCGAGTGACAATTCAACAATAATAATAACCAAAATATAAATAGTTAAACAAAGACTATACCAGAAATTTTCGTTATAGGGTGCTGTGTAAAAACAAAAGAAAAGACAGAAAAACGTAAAAATGACAAGATACCGACAAGTGAAATAATTGTAAACGTCCATATATAAGTAATTCTAATTGTATATATTATATCATATGTTTTCTATTTGTATATTTTAGATGTGTACAGTACAAAAAGTGTTAGATTTGTTGAGATTCGGATATGAACGGATAGGTTCAAAATGAACCTACAAAAAATTATTGTTTCAAAATTTATATTATCAGTTTAAAATATTTACATAATAATATGTGTATCGTACCTTAAAAAGTTATGAATAAACGTCATTCCTTAGTTTAATTTTTGTAATGTGTGCATAATCTAATTTCTTTAAATAATATATTTTTATTTTAGTTTTATTACTGAAAAACAACTGTGTATTTACCAGAATGAATAAATACACAGTAATAGAAAGTGTCGCTATCCAGAGCCTCACAGCAACATGGTTAGTTGGTTAAAGTAGCGAATGACACCGCTTGTCGAGCTCCAATTAGCAAAATTGCCGCTTTGATACCACTACTCTAAGACCCTATCCTACGGATGGGAAAGTAGGATTGATAACTGTTTATTTCGTTATGCTGCAACATCTTCAAGATTTACAAAGCTGTAACCTCCGAGGAAACGATTGCAAGTCCTATACAAAGCCGGACAGCGGCATAGGAAATGCAGGACCTGTTTTCCCTTCCTTAGAGTCCTTGCAGCTTCGGCAAGCTTCGTAAAAAAGTTTGCCCATTCTAGCCGCATGTCAACAATTGGCCAGTGTCCCGTATATAGGGGTCCCAGGCTGAGCGTGCATTAGAAGTTTCTGGAGAACTACAATATCTAAATCGGAGATTTTTTGCACATCTTCTTCTTTTTAAGGTGCCGTGCAGGTTCCTCCGTAGGCGTTCATCTTTTTCTTCCTCATCAGATGGTTCTATTAACTGCAGCGACTTGGAGTGCTTGGAAGTCCATGCACATCATTATTATACAATGTGATCTATCGATTAAAAATATTTTCAATATGTCGGCACTTCCGGAAATACCGGAAGTCGATAGCCACTTTCTTGTTTTATATGAGTTCCCCCGTTGTTTATTATATACTTAAATTCTCTGTGAAATTCTACGAATATTGATGTTAAATATTCTATATCTTACATTAACGGTTTTTGAGAAAAAAAACATTTAAAATTCATCACAACGAAAAAAAACTACCTGTCAAAAAAAATTGTGCAGCCTAAAAGTCAAATTTTTTGATTACCACAGCCACTGTGACATAAAGAGAAGACATGTGGCTCTATATTTCAAAAATTATTGTTTGAATATCCTATAATATTGCCCCTAGCTGTCATGGAATTGAGAGACTAAAAAATTATCATAAATCATCACTATCTATTTCAAAAATTACATTGTTCGAGTATCATATAATAATGGCAGTAGCTGTCATGAAATTGAGCCATTAAAGAATAATTATATACATGTTTTTCAAATGGAAACTCTTTTTAATTCACTAGTGAAAAGTATTTTCAATTCGTGACTTTTTGACTATACATGTTCCTATACCTAAAACAAATTGTTTTTAAATTATTTTTGATTTAGTTTTAAAACGTATGATTTTATCTAGCTTCCTTTGACATTAAGTGTCAAACAATCAGACAATTTATTTCTGTCTGTGAGATAACTAATTATTTGAATTTCCTATATTACAAATACTGCCTACTTAAGAATTTAAAAAATGTATTTATATCTCGTATTTTCGCTCTTAAGTGATATCTAATAGTTGATATTATTAATAATATGATATACCATACCATATGATCGAAAAAAAATGGCGCAAAGTTGTCTTGGAAATGATGATCGATGACATACTGAAAGAAAAAAACATGGGGAGAATGGATCGTTTCCCCTCATAGATAGGAGAGAATATTCTATATATATTCTCTCCGATATAACCCCCATAGGAGAGAATATCGTTTTCCCTCTCACGGCTACCACGTAGCTACAGAACGGACAGACGTACTGAAACAAAAAATGGGGGTACCCCTTTAAAATAAGAAAGTTGTCAACTTCCAGTATCTCCGGAAGTGCCGTCATATTGAAAATATTTTTAATCGATAGATCTCGTCAAACAATTATGTGCAAAAAATCTCCGATCTAGATATTGTAGTTCTCTAGAAATTTCTATTGCACACTCAGCCTGGGAACTAAGTACACACTAAGCCCTTACGATTTCTTAAGGTCGTATTTGGGCCAAGTTTTCCTGGCTGTCCTGCAGGTGCTTAAAATTTTTTTTCTACTGTTTACCATTGACAAAAAATGGAGGTAAATCTCTTTTTATGGTATTGAGGGGAGTAAAAACTTCTTCTGATGTATCTAGCCCAAGACTCGATCCTCGCCTTGCACACAGTTACATAGTATCTGCTCTGCTGCTTCCGGATTTTTCTCGTAGAATCTGCGTCAAAGATAACCTTCATACAAGTTGAGCTTGTTTAAGTAACACTTGACAGTCATATATTCTGTATATAGACCTGTTATAATATAGTGAGCATTAGCAATTTCTTTGCTGTTTTATAATTAGGTACCAGGATAAAGACCTTGCTATGCTTAATGCTCTTGTATATTTCTCCAGTGGGCAGTTTGCCTCCCCTTCATTCAGAGTTTTATTGCACACTGTTGGTATATCTGGATATTTCCAGTACTGACTCTGAACCAAGAAAGATTTCTGATTATCCTTGTCTTGCTAGTTTGCCGTCTTTTTGTGTCTGTGGACGCCGCTGAGTTCCGGCACCTAGAATAATTTAATTCTGTTTCTTTCTGGTAGACTTTCAATATTATCAAGTCTTTCCCAGACGAGTCTCAATGATACCTATAGTCTCACAAAAGCCTTAAGTGCCGCTTGATGCTGAGCATATATTGATGGTAAGCCCTTCTATTGATTTCTCTCACGCATTGTAGAATGGCGAAGATTTCTACCTGAAATACGGTTGAGTATTTAGCAAAGAAAA